CAGGGCTAGAGGCTTGTATGTTAAATGGAAAATCAGAGTACTATTGTATAATTTTAAGGTGAACTTGAAATTTTTTTAACATAGTCAAGCACGGGGCGGGGAGCGAAATGCATGGTGAAGTGGAAAACAGGCTTAAGTCATCTAAGTCTTTTACTGACTGCTGTTCTGGAAAACAAGCTAATTTTGGCTTGGAAATAAGTATGAAAGAACAAATTAATTAATATCTTCACAACATTTACCGTTCAGAATTAACACATTCTGCTGATATTCATTTTGTCGGCATTCACACTTATTTCCAAGTCTCAAAATTGAACTGAAGGTCATCGGACATATGTCCGACCCAAACTCAATGTCATCGGACATTTTGTCAGACGGCCCTGTAAAAGATATTTTAAGGCCTGCTATGAACAACCAACACCTGGTGTGAGACTGAAGTCAAATAGAAATTAAATTAGGGTAATGTAAGTGCTAATGGTAACTGAGACATGCACACACAGTCTGTTAATCCATCACAACATCACATCTTAATGGGTTCATGGAATACAGTAAATCTCGGACTATAAACCCTGGGCTATATTTTTGATGGGCTTATACAAGGGGGGGGGGGGGCTTACAGTATATATGAGGGATAGAGCTTATATACATGGACAATCTTTTGTGTTAGTATAATAAACACTGTGACCTGTCAGTCATAAACAGGAAAATAAACACATAGTAATAATGCACTTTGATTAATTAACGACATTGACTTAAGCTATAAAGACAATGTTTTTATTTTTTAATATTGTTCTCTGCTATATTAACCCATTGAGCCACAACGCGCCCCAGTGCGCTCTACTTTATTTTCACTTGTCTAACGCCAAACGATTTTACTCGTCAATGGGTAAACTCTGCAGCTTAATGGGTTGACCAAAAAATCTGACAATGTCTCTGGTAAACCCATCAAGCCGCAATGCGCCCCAGTGTGCCTTACTTATTTTTTTACTTGTCTAACGCCAGACGATTTTCCTTGTCAATGGGAAAGCTCCTCAGCTTAATGGGTTAATTAAAAGACAATGTCAATGTTGAATAACACAGTGGGCCACTGGGGCTTATATTCGGAATGAGGTGAGCCTTAGTACAGTACATGTGCTGGGCTTATACACGGGGTGGTGGGCTTATACAAGGGGGGGCTTATATTTGGAGGTTTACGGTAGCATAGAAAATTTTCCTGGCACTTAACCCCCACTTATCAGCAACAGTCTGAGTTGTATAGGTTTTCAATGACTGGTGCATAACACCTCTAACAGTGAAATAGATTTTTTCATTGATTTAAGAATTTGGACATAAAAAACCTAGATATATAAAAATTAGAAACTTATGAAAGTAGCAGTTGATTTGAAACAACTGGTTACATTTTCTCAAACCATGTTTAGCTGGGACATGTGTAGTTGAGCGTATGATTGAGTAGATGCCTAGCTATATTTATACCAGAAACATTGTTATCTGGCAATCTATCTTCTACTCATAAACACAAATATTAGTTGCCCTTTATACAATAAACCTAATTTAATATAAAGTCAAATGTAAGCCTTCTATAAAACTAATGTATTTATATCATCTTTTTAATTCAAATATTGTCGCGGCAAATTCAAATTTTAAACATGAACACATGCTCAAAATTGATGAATGAAGATAGCGAATATTTACTTTCAAAACTGCTCCATTATACATATAACATAACAATATGCTTACCTGAACATTATTCAGTCATCCCGGCTGTTTCCTCTTCGTTCAAATCATTCGTCGTCGCTTAAAAAAGCGAATTTTTCGAACCCATAAATTCAGAATGAAGGCTTGAAAAATATGGCGTAATGGCGGTGTCACAGATGAGGTAATACAGATGTGAATCTCCTGTGAAAATGTGTCACACGGATTAAATAAACTTTAAAATTGTATTAATTCACTATTTTATTAAATTTTGATAATGCAGAGGAATAAAACTATACATATTATAGAAGTATTCATGTTTTTTTATGCGAGAGTTATGTTTTGAGGCATTTATATCATTCGCTGTTTTGTTATTTATACACGAGCATCTGAAATTCCCAGCAAGTGTATTTCACGATTTTAATAAGAAGTAGATAGGGAAAAAAACAACTTTTGCTAAATAAAATGATATATTAACACTTTTAATAAAAAGAAATCAATAAAAGTGATCGCTTACCGTTACTCTTGAAGAATTAATTCCAAAAATAGCCGTCGGTAGCGTAGACTTTTTAAAAAAACAATTTTTCGTCTTTCGAACGGCGTTTTCCTATCTCTTTCCTTATTAAATTTCAGAACGACACTTGCCAGCGCTCGCCGGAAGTGAGAATTCCGTGTGACACAAAACAATCAGCAATTTCACAGGAGATTCACATCTGTACTTACCTCATCTGTGGCGGTGTGAATAAATGACGCTATCCCGGGAAGCTTTGCGCGCGTAGCACGAAAACTAGGCACCAGTCTGTAAAATCGCGCTCATCGTGAGAATTTTCGTTTCTTTCGATCCGAAGAGCTTCAAAAGACCAGTTACCTATATTTCAGATATTAATGGTGTGCTAAAGACAGACTAATCTCTTAGAAAATAAATAGTCCCAGTAATGCTCTTACTACATGCGAAGGAATAAAATACTACACAACAAATATCAAACGGTTATTAGACACGTAAACTTGATATCGCCGGCAAAGTCAATATCGCCATTTACATCTACTGTATATATCCGAAAAACATATTATAGCATACATTACCGTGATTGATGATTGGATTTATTGTATGTTACTAAAAAGCATTTTTCAGTACACACCGTGCACGCGTGTTTTCCAAAATCGGCGTAGGGTGTGTTATCTAACACACCAAGATGTGTTTTGCAAATTAGTATGAGGTGTGTTCTCGAACACACCAAGGTGTGTTTTCATTCAAAAGGTGTGTTATTGAACACACCTTATATGCATCAATGGTGTGTACGAAAAGGTGTGTAAAATACAGGTGTGTTTCTTAGCACACCTAGGTGTGTTTTGTTACACACCATGGTGTGTTTTCCAACACATCATGGTGTGTTTTCTAACACACAAAGGTGTGTTTTCTAAAATTGTATAGGAAGGTGTGTAAAATGTACACACCTTGGTGTGTAATTAAACACACCTTGGTGTGTAATTAAACACACCTTGGTGTGTAATTGAACACACCTGTTTTTAGAGTGAAACCGTCAACGGATAAAAATTTTAAAACATATGCAGACCAAATAGCTAAAATTACTTAACGTGGTTCCGAATATTTAAAAAACATAGAAAAATATTAAAGTTAAATGTCATTGAAAATTGAAAATTCGCGTCGCGTTGTTTTTTTCTTTTTCAGTTTACCAAGCTATTCTTCCAATTCCTAAAACTATTGGACTAAGTAAATATTAGGTTTTTAAAAGGAAAAGCTCAGCATTCGCAAAAGTCCTCATTTTTGCAAGGTTCTCATGTACGATATATACATAGCATGCAGTCAAGACATATTTTCCATTGTATGTCAGTTGGACTGCTATAGACAACCATATAGAAAACAATTGTTGAATAATGTGCAAGAAATCACCTGTCATGACAAACTGTACCTGGTCAGAAAACCCATATCCAAATAAACCATAAGAAAATGCAAACTCTAGTTCTGCAGTCCCAATTTTCTAGAAGTATAAAAAGAAATAAAACATTTCAATCTTTGAAACTTTTCTCATGTTTCTATTACTTTTATACAGTACGTAAGACACTCTATGATAATACTACTCTACGTACAGACAGTATGGCAATGAAACCGTACGTTACAAAATGGAAATACTTGTGCTATTTAGGCAAGTACGTGATGCTTTAATATTCTTAGTATAAAAGCTCAAGTAATTTACCGATCGCCCAGTAGTAAATCCAGACAAAAGCCCTTTGCTCGAAACGTCAAAATTCTCCTTATATTTTTCAGGTAGTTGCATCCCTACCAACGAAAGCTTGTTAATATTGTCACTACCTACACTGGCACAGACAATTCAAGTTAGTACCTGTTTCTTCCTATTGGTCAATTCGTATTTATCCATTGACCAGCCAATCTGTGAACAACAAACAGATAACAAAGAATGATAAAATTCCATCCATTTATCAAAATAATATCAACATTCCAGGTACTAATGCGTAGGTGCGAACTTGCGCTGTACCCAGCTCGATATGATAAAAGGTTATCGAACAATGTTCTGAAACCACCAAACTGAATGTTTAACAGTTATTCTACGAACTCGAGTCGAATATGAGCTGATAGCCGATGAGGCGCGTAGCGCCGAATCGGCTATCGCTCATATTCGACGAGAGTGAGTAGAATAACTGTTTTATTATATCCACAAGGTCTGAATTCACAGACTTTGCTTTTCGGATATTTTCAATATTTTTCTATTTTGTTTATGTTTTTATCTTCGCTCTTTCGGCCGATTATTTTTTCAAAAATATATATTTTTAACCATTTTAAATTTTAAAAATTTATTTGCTAACCTGAAACCAATTTGTGGGAGTTTTTTTCATTGTGTTTTTAATCCTGTGAAGGCTATAAAAAGCGACAACTTGCCGTTTTCTCGTTTGCAAAACATCGTAAATTCAGTTTGGCCGCCATTTTGTTTTTCTCTAGTAGCAGGATATGAGCTAATATCCTGCTAGTAGAGAACCAATCAGAATGCAGAATACCTCATATCCAGACCTTGTGTATATAATAATTATAGTTATATAAGGAACTGGGCATGGAATTTTTAAATGAATGCAGATGTACGTAAATTCTGAAATGAAAGGTGTTAAAGGTAATGATTTGGGAGTATTGAGGGTTTTCCAATGTTGTGTTATTAAATATGCTCTATATTTATCAATTTTAAAAAATCACGCCATGTTAGCAATTGGCTGAGGTGTGGTCAGTAAATTCTGCAACCGAAAACCACAAATATTTTGACTGGGTATACAAGCCTAAAATTGTCGTGCTTGTAGTTGTTTTCGTTCAATTTATTATACAGATTTCCACGAAATTTTGTATCGTTAGGCTATATAAACTTAAGGTTTTACCAATAACGAATATACAGATACATACAAACCAACCTTGACTAATTTGTGCACATGAAATGCCACTTTGCCAATGAGTTTGTGTTTATTCTCGTTTTCATGATTATAACCAAGGACGGAGAAAACAGCCTGATTCGACCAATCCTTCATTTGAGAAACGATCTAAATTTTTAATAATTGATAAACGTTCGCTTTAGTTCGTTTTTAGTTTTAATCCTTCCTTGTGTAGGATACTGTATATTTTGATGGTTCGGTGGATATTGCTGGGAATTGAAACCACAATTGCCTGTTCTGTGACACTTATATTAGGGAGTTTAAGCTTCACGTTTCCGGGAACGGCAAACGGCAGGTTCGAACTTTCTTGGCAAAATTTTCGTTGAACGGTTTCGTTTCATATTTTCTTTCTTGCGTCGAAAGAATAATTATGTATTTCAGTTTTAAAACAGCAAGTTCACTTACTCTTTATTGCCTGATACAGTAAAATGTTTCTTTGCCTGGCGTTTGCCGTTTGACGTATAACGCGAAGATTAAACTCTCTAATTACATGTTTGAAAAAATTATTAAAAAACTCATTAATAATTCATCAATCAATCAATCAATCAATCAACTTTATTTAACGAGGGTAAACACTGAACAGTATATCAACTGACTAACAAGTGGCCCTCTTATACTATAACTACATTACATACAATTAAAAATACTATATAACATGTAATCATGATAATACTATAAGTTCATAAGTTAAAAAGTCAAGATATTGTGAAAGAATCAATATCATTATACCTATGAAAAAAATAGTTAAAAAGTTCATTCTTAAAAGTTTCTACAGATTTTTCGGAAGTTTTTATATGAGGAGGTATAGAGTTCCAAAGTTTACACGTGGAGACCTGGAAAGACTTTCCCCCTTCCATGACTCGGCTATAGCGTGGACATACCAAGTTTCTTTGACTGTAACGGCCTGACGAACGGGTTTGTATGTCTGCATTTGAGGTTAGAATATCATTAATATATGATGGGCAATTTCCATGAAACCGTTTGTAAGCTAAGACACATTTGTTCAACCTCACTTCGTCGTGAAAAGCAAGCCAATTTAGCTGCTTAAACAATGATACGCTGTTTGTTCTTGTACCGACATCCAAAATGATGCGGGCAGCACGTTTTTGCAATCGAAGAATTGTTTTCAAGTTTTCCACGGAGCAGTTAGCCCAAACTGTAGCACCATACATCATGACTTGCTTAAACATGGTGTTGTAGTACAGTTTACGTTGGTCTAAAGGAAGAAACCGTTTAATTTTCCGAAGAACGCCCAGTCGTTGTCCCAATTTCTTAGAAAGTTCTTCCACGTGTTTATCAAAAGTCAGTTCTTGATCGATAGTGACTCCTAAAAGTTTCTGGAAATGAACTTGTTCAATATCCTCGTTTTCAGACTGTAACGACAATATCTTTGTCGGCAACTTTTTGGCCAATCTCTTCCCGGTAACAAGCATAGATTTTGTCTTTTTGGCATTTATGATCATTTTGTTTGTTTTTGACCACCTTACAATGCCGTCCAAATCAAGCTGTAGTGCTGTTTCTATGGCTGTAGGTGCCAAATCCACTTCTGCGGAGTGACTAAGGGTAGTATCATCCGCATATATGTCGACCTCGGAGTGGAATACCTCTGACGGAAGATCGTTGATAAACAAAAGGAAGAAGATTGGACCCAAAATACTTCCTTGTGGCACACCGCATTTCACCTCTATTTTCGGAGAACGGAAACCATCAATATTTACATACTGCCAACGGTTTCTAAGATAGTCTTTTAAGAGGTTTAGCTCATCCCCCTGAATGCCATAATTATGTAACTTGTTAAGGAGCAGTTGATGGTCTATCAGATCGAAGGCTTTCTTATAGTCTACAAAAATTAGTCCAGTTACCTTGTTTTTATCCAGATCAAGTAGCAATTGGTCAATGAGTCTGATGAGTGCAGTTTCAGTCGAATGGTGTTTACGAAACCCGGATTGAAGTCGATAAAATAAGTTTCGTTGTTGCAGAAACCCATACATATGTTCACATATGTGCCTTTCCAGTAGCTTAGATAAAATGGGAAGCACTGATATAGGCCTGTAGTTAGACTTTTCATCTCGGTTTCCCTTCCCTTTATATATTGGGGTGACCTTAGCAACCTTCCATTTTGAGGGGAACGTTTGAGTGTTTATGCAACGATTCATCAGCTGGCTTAATGGTTCGGCTATAGCTGGTGCTGCTATTCTCATTATTTTGGCGCTAATGCCATCGTCTCCTGTGGATTTATGAACGGGGATGGATAGAAGTAACTCAATCACTCTTAATTTTGACATGGGGGGAATGCTGAATGTAGTATCGACATGGGGAATAGGATCTAGATTTGATGTTTGTTCTATTTCTACGGGCGCTGAGGTGGACGCGAGGTTATTTTGCGGGTCGACAAAGAAGCGATTAAATGTTTCAGCAATGGTCACTTTATCTTTTAAAATCGTACTATTTTCGGTCAAAAATTTGACACTTTCATTTTTTCCAGCATCATCATTTGTTAGATTTTTAATCAAGTTCCAAAGTTTACTGGGGTTTTGTTTATTTTCTTGAAATTTATCACTAAAGTAATTTTTCTTCGCATTTCTTATTGTTTTTGTCACTTTGTTCTTTGCAATGCGGTAGTTTGCCCAATCTTCGTCAGTTTGATATTTCCTTGCTTTGTAATACAGTTTATCGCGTGCCTTTATGTCCTCCCCAATTATATTATTGAACCATTTAGGCTGTGTATTTCGCTTTACCCGCTTTTGTTTTAAGGGAAGATATTCATTTACGACATCATTAAATATTTCATACCATGCATAGACAGTGTCATTTGCGTCATCAAATACAAAAGCACTATCCCACGGTGCATTTTTAAGGGCGGTAATGAATTTGTCCTTGTTTAAATGCTTTACGTCGCGATAGTTTATTGTGGAATGCTTACCCTTGTTGTGACACGCACGTTTGTATATCCTGGTTGTCATAATAGGCAAATGATCTGATATTCCAATATTTAAAACTTTGACATTGTTTAGCCGTTCAGCATGGGTGCACCAGATGTGATCGAGACAGGTGCGTGATATGGGGCGTGTAATCACATTCATAAGCTGCGAAAGGTTGAATGACTTTAATACTTTCGTGAATGTATGATTTGCAAATTTCGTTGTGCATAAATAATCAATGTTTATGTCACCCAAAAGTACCACCTCGCGACCTAAAAGAGAGACATTTTCGATGTTTTTCCCGATACTCTTATCACTAGCAGCGTTTGATGAGGGTGGTCTGTAGATTCCCCCGATGAATAGAGGCCGTTTCGATTTGTAGGGACAGGTTTCGAGCCATATTATTTCCACATCTTTTGTTTCGAGATCAATTCGTCGCTCAGCTTGAACTGAGTTTTTAACATATACACATAATCCACCGCCTGACTTTCCAGTTCTGTCCTTTCGATAGACTTTGTAGCCGGGAATGCTGTAAAATGTTTCTGGTATTTTTTCGGTACAGAAGGTCTCCGATAAAATGAGAATGTCCAGACCAAAAAGCTCCTTGCTGGGGCATGTCAATAAGTTGCGAATCTCTTCAAATTTACTGTCCGTGAGATGTTGTATATTCCAATGGCATAATGCATAAAACACAAAAGAAATCATGCATAAAACACAAAAGAAATCATGGGCGTGAAGGAGTCTGTATATGTGATACAGATTCATGTTGATTTACATAAACTTTAACTTTGATTTTCCCGGCTTAGACAACGTTTATTTTTAAAATTACTTCGCAAATGAACTCATAAGATGAGTCGTTTTTTAAGCCATTTACAACATTCGCGTCCGTGTTGTATCGGATATACAAACAATTATGCTAACCATAAAAACAGTTTTCGGATCAAACAGTTAAGACCCCACCTCTCGGGTTGTTGGTGTGATCTAGTTGGGTAACGTTGTTCAGATCCTGTTGTAGCCCTACCGGCTTCTTCTTGTTGCACTACTGATGGATTCGTGGCTAGTTCGATATCCGGCTCTGCGACAATTTCTTCTGCTGCAATATTTCTGCTGCAATATTCTGGCCAGTCTCTCCGAGCCCTGGATGAGGTTCAGCTGTATCATCACTCTGGTAATTTACTTTCACACTAGAGGCTCGAAGCTGGTCGATGTGACGTAGCCATATTTAATTTAATTTAATTTAATTTAATTTAATAACTTTGCCGTTACATAAATTACAAATTCTGGCAGGGTTCCCACAACAGCATAACGCCAATAACTGCGGGCCCAAAATTCGATTTGGACCAACTTTTATCTCGTATGAAAGGGGTCCCGTTTGAGCTCGAACTATGCCTGCCATGACAGTCTGACCAATGGATAACTGACGTGTGGGGGAATGTCCTTTCCTCCCTGCTTGGTCGATTTGCCTGTTCATCACTTTCATTTGTAAATCAGGTTTCACCAAATCGAGGCGAGTCCGTAGAGGTCTGCCCAAAGACAACACGGACGGTGATTCTCGATCGAATGCGGGATATTCCAGTCGTCGAATGCGGGATATTGTGGAGTGGACCATCCTTTGATAACCAACTCATGGACCTTCACCAATAGAGGACCTCTCTGTGTTTCTCGTTTCACCTGTTCTGCTGTGACTGGCAAGGACTCAAACTGCGTGGCAGAGAAGAAGCCCACTTGATCTGGCTCTTCTTCTGTTGTCTCACTATGCAAGGGTAATCGAGACAAACCATCCGCATTCCCGTGTAACTTAGTGTTCTTGTATCTAATTGTATAGTCAAAACCCGCCACGAACAAAGCGTAGCGTTGTAATCTAGCAGCAGTGACAGCAGGAAGACTTTTGCTGGGATGAAAAATTGAAGTCAGAGGCTCATGATCAGTCAGTAAGGTAAAGTTCCTACCGAAAAGGTAATTGTGGAATTTCTTGACTCCCCACACTGTAGCCAGCGCTTCTTTAGGGACCGGTCATTATTTATGGTGGGGGGTGGCACCAAAGAGAAAAGGGTTGGGTAAACTAGATTTTGAGTAAGTAAAAGGTTGGGTAAATGAAAAACAAAACAACTCAAGGGTTGGGTAATAAAAAATTATTGTCATTTCCAAAGCATGACTCACTGAAGTGTTGGGGACTAAAAAGCAACGCCAACAGTAGGCCCTACTCTGGGGCGATAACGAGATAATGCGAGTTTAATTAAGCAATTTTAGGTGATTTAAGCAAAATCTGCAATTTAAGCAATGCGAGTTTGAGCGATATAGGGCAATGTAAGAAAACAATTAAAATTTTAGGGAATGCTGTTTTAGGTGTTTAGAGGTAATTTCAGGAATATACAACTATATCCCTGATGACTCCAATGAAATTACCATTAACCTATGCCAAGCATCCAAACATGAGTGTTCTCACAAACACACACACATGCAGTGTACGAAGCAAAATATACAATTTAACAAAAAAAGTTGGGATGTCTGCTTGAGGGGGTTCTGGAAACAAACAATACACTGTATGCGCATGACGATCAAGTGTTTAAAGGGTGAATAACAGCTGGGCATTTTGTACGGAGCATGCGCGAAAAAATCAATATGGCGACATATTTATGGGAGTGCTTCGTGGATTTATCTGGTTTTAAAGCTGATAAAACAACATTTCAATGAATAAAAACTTTGTAATATTTAGTGGAAAACATTAAGCTATGCAGTCCAAAGGTTTTAAATTAAAAATAAGTACTTTTGCTTTATTTTATTGCTTTTTATGCTTTCAAAATAGGCAAGCTCATTTTTTTGAAAGAATCTAAACTAACATTTTACCCATCATTTGTTTAATCTGAACAGAAATAGATAGAATACTTGGCTACATAAGTTATAAAGGGAATTGGTAGCTGATCTGAAAGATTTCAGTATTCCTGGTACACATTTTAACAAAGAATGACTGTAATTTTAAAAATTAAATATGCATATCAAAAACAATAGTTCTTATTAGAACAACACATAATAAGTTGTTATTTTCTATTTTTACAAAAACAAGTTTGGAAACAGAATCTAGTCCTCCAGTTTGATGTCATATTCCATTTATTTGGATATTTGAATAAAGGAATGTGAAATAAGAATTGAAACTTGTCCAAAATTTGATACCAGCACTCAAGTGAACAGATACTATCACCTAAAAATAAAAGAAAACAGAACTTAAATTTGTCATATAATGCTATGAAAAATCTTAGATACTACAGGCATATAGTGAGCACAATTCTTTAACAAACTCACTAAAATAAGTTAAGTTATGCTATGATAAGAGGATGGCAATATATGACAACATCAAATGTTACCATCTTCAGTGTTCAAAAAAAAGTGCCGCGCGCATTTTTCCCAGCATACCCACTAACTTTTGCATGAAGGTTGACTAATAAGGATAGTTTTAAGCCATTTTTCGGAGAGAGGCAATGGGCAAAATTTTAAGGTATTTTTATTTATATGCCATATCACCACAGAATTTCACAAAGCAAGCATGCCTATATTCAGGATTGCCGTTAGACTCTTAATCTTAAAACTGAACAAATCAATACGGCATTTCCTATCTCATAACAACCAATACTTGAACATTTTCAAAAGCATTTTTGCAGCAATTTTTACTTTATAACAAACCAATACAGGAGCAATGTCATAAGCATGTGACAACATGACATTTTCACTTCACAAGTGGATTTGTCAATTACAACATCTAACACATTTTTCCCATGAATAGCTCAGGTTTTTTAATAAAACAAAGTATGATTTAACTTTCATAAAATATATTTTCTAACTAAAGGCAACGGCCAGTTTTTACGAAAGTGCAAGAGGAATATGTGTCATTTTCATCAAAATATGTATTTTAAGACACTTATTATTCCAGATGAGGAAGGACAAACAAATTATTGAACATACCTGTGGAAACAACAACAACTCAGCTTCTGTCAAGAGTAAAATATGAACACTTCCGTGTTTCCATACTGCTGTACCCTGCTTCTGAAACTCTGACAATGAGTGAAACATTTCCACTTGTCGCCCATTTGTAAATAAAAATTCTTCGCACGTTTTCATGCGATTAAGTCGTTATATCGTTGCGTACAAGCACTACAACTTAATCTTTCAAGAAACACTTTATTTTCCATGAACAAACCAGTAAAAGAGGACAAAAAATCCTCTCACAATGCATATTTTCAGCGTTCGAAGAATCAAAATGTTTTTTAAGAAATGCGCCCGCAATATTTAAACAGCGACAACAGAATGCCCAGCTTTTGGCTGGGGCTGGTCACGTGGCACGCAGATTCTGCGTGCTGAAATAAAATGTGTCTTTGGGTAATGGGTGGGTAGGGTGGTAGAGGAGTGGTCTAAAGCTACGTTTGCACACAACGATTAATCGGGACGATTTCAGGTTTTGCCACTGAGCTATATAATAACTGGAGGACCTGTTCCTATACTTCGTTCAGTCAACGAAGTGAAGCCAAAAACATGGCGGATTTTGACGTTTGCTCACACCATTTCCATGACAACTGGTCCGTAATTCCCACGCAATTACCACTGACCAACCGCGATCCTGAGCTTCAGACGACGTTTTCACCCCCCTGGTTTTGGCAGTTTTTTTAGTTAAAAACAGAATATTTTCTCGTATTTTGCTGGTTTTTTACAACTTGAAAGAAATTAAAGTGCTGTTTTGCTCCGCTTGCTGATGCAACAATTTACTTTACATAAAGGATGAGTAATTCATTTCACAGGTAAGATTCATGGGACTTGGATAACGGATAGTACGAAATTGTAAAATATTTTGTCAAACCTTAGCACTCGTTCACTCATGAGCCAAATGGACAAGCCTGTGCCACACCCCCAACTAAGGAAATTAGGTGACTAGGGAAACGAGAGAAATGTGAGCGAGGAAGCGAGTATTTTACAGCGATCATTTGTGAGAAAATTTTATGTTTTATTAAACTTTTATTTTAAATTTATTTGTGGTAAGTGTGCATTAACTTCTCCAGCACACTTTGGTGCCGTGACCAGGATCTATTCGCGAGATTAATTAAAACGTTTATATTCGAACATGAGCAACGAGCAGACCGAGGAAAGTTTACAACTAGAAATCAACAAGGAAATAGAAAAACTGAAATATTACGTTGAAAATGCTGACGAGACGATCAACGAAGGAGATTTTAACGAGATCAAGATAATAAATAACCGAGCAACAGCAATTTTGGATAAAATAAACACTCTAGTCGCGAGTATTCAAGAGTTAAAAATCGATCGCGGGGAAACAGCAAGGAATGTTCGATAATGGAAAAAGGAAAATAAGGAAATTTACAGGCCGCTAGTGGAAAAAATGGGAAAACTATCTGACGCTTATAACCAGAAACAAAGGAAAACAAACGATGAAATCGAGCGGGAAAAACAAGAAGCAGAAAGGGAAAACGAAGAACGTCGTCGGCGAGAAATACGAGAGCGCGAAAGAGAAATGTGGGAAGAAAAATTTAACGCAGAATTACGAATGACCGAGAAAAAGATTGAAATGGAAACACAGGCAAAGGCTAGTTTGGCAAAACTTCCACGTTTGAAAATTACACCATTCAAAGGTACAGCAGCTGATTGGGTTCGGTTTGAAAATATGTTTCTGACTCAAGTTGACAGCAGACCAATTTCTGAGGAAGAAAAATTTGGTTATCTGCTAGAGTCGGTGGTACCTAAGGTAAGAGATATAATTTCTAATTTAAAACCAAGCTCTGTGGGGTATAAAACGGCATGGGACCGTTTGAAAAAGGAATATGGGCAAACCCGAGCAGTGATCAGTGCGCACTTAGATGAAATCATCAACTTACCTACTATTAGAGGAACTAATCATGAGAAAATTCAAGAGTTTTATGATAAGCTAAGCAGAAACTTTGATGCTTTACAAACCCTAGGAGAGGGGGGAAAATTACAAGGATTTGTTATGAACACATTGAACAAATTACCACATGTAAAGCCAGACTTAGTAAGGGTGGATAGCAGCTGGGAGGAATGGGAGATGGGAGCTCTGATTAATAACTTACAAGCATGGTTGAAGAGAAACAAATGTGATGATGGTTTTTCAAACCCCCAAGTGATAACCGGAAGAGAGAAAGAAATTGGTACGGGGGGATGGGAAACCGAAACCAAAGTGCATATTTTGATATTTTGTAGTGAGGAACACTGGAGTGATGAGTGCAAAAGAGTAGTTACACAAGATCAGAGAAGGAAGTTCTTTGTCGACAAGAACTTATGCTTCAATTGTGGACGTACTGGTCATAGGGGGTCCCAGTGCCGTAGCCGAGGTTGTTTCAAGTGTGGGTCAAAGCATCACACCAGTATATGTGACAAGAACCAAAATCCCAAATTGGAGACGGGGGTGTACTCAATGGTTACAGCAGGTCCCCTGAGACGAATTCTTTACCAGCCATTATTCCAGTCAAGATTGGGGGGGAGGTGATGTGGGCTTATTTAGACACTGGTTCTGCTAGGAACTTTGTTTCTCGGGACGCAGCAAAAATGTTAAATTTGAAGCCAAAACGCCATGAACCGAGAGAAATTGTTACTCTGAATGGGATCACAAATCAGTCAATGCCGATTTATGAAATAGTAATAAATGCTCTTGACGGGGGAGCACGAGAGAAAATCGAGGTTACCGGTTCGAAACTTCCAGACTTTACGACAGTCAGAAGACCTCATATTCCCGAGCTAAAATTAAAGCATGAACACACAAAGGACAAAACATTTTACTATACTGAGAATAGGAAATGCCAGATTCATCTCATTATTGGAGACAACACGTTTAGTCGAATCCGAACTGAAACTGTGTGCAAGGGGGAGCAGGGAGACCCGATCGTTGAAGAAACCAGTTTCGGTTGGGTAATACATGGGGGCGATGACTACACCGATGATCAGTGCATGTTCACAAGAGAGACAAGTGACTGTGAGAGACTGTATAGTTTGGACGTCTTGGGAGTCGAGGACACAGGAGACACCAACAGTGAAATTCTGAATGAGTTTACAGAGAAAATTACGAGAAAGGAGGACGGGAGGTATGAGGTCAGTTTTCCATGGATTTCAGGGAAAAGACCGTCGGATACAAACGAACAGCAGAGTAGGAAACGGTTACAGAATGTCGATAGAAAATTAGATAAAAACCCTGAACTAAAGCGAGAGTACAACAACATTATAAGCGAACAGTTAAGCCAAGGAGTAGTGGAAGTAGCCCTAGACACCCCCACTGGGGACCGGGTTTACTACATGCCGCACAAACCGGTTGTGCGCCAGAATGCTACCACAACAAAGGTACGAATGATCTTCGATGCGAGTGCAAAACCTAATGCATCAGCTGAGAGCATAAACGATTGCATGTATACTGGCCCTCCGTTGCAACCACATCTGTGGGACATACTAGTACGAGCACGGTTAATGCAGAATCTTATATTAGCAGACATCCAGAAAGCTTTCCTTCAGATTGAAGTGAAGGAAGAAGATCGTGATTCCTTCAGATTCCTATACAACGTAAATGGCATGGAGAAACACCTACGTTTCACACGTGTGCCGTTCGGAGCGGAGGCTAGCCCCTTTGTATTAGGTGCAACATTGCAACACCACCTCGGAAACCAATCCCCTGAACATCAAGATACCGTCGACGCGTTGAAGAAAAATACCTATGTGGACAATTTAATATACGGTGGCGAGGATCTGAGTAGCTTGGTGAAATTCAAAGACGAAAGCAGCAGGATCTTGGAAAGTGGTAAATTTCCCGTCCAAAAATGGGAAAGTAATGTCGAGTTCTTAGAAAGCAATGACATGCCAAACCATACTAAATTCTTGGGACATATGTGGGACAAACGGGAGGAAACCCTCGAGATAACAGTTCCTGATTACCCAGAAGGTGATCCAGTGACCAAACGAAGCATCCTTAGTCATTTAGGAAGCATGTATGATCCACTTGGGATAATCTCTCCGACCCTAGCTGAGGGGAAACGAATCTATCGCAATGTGTGTGACGAGAAGAAATGTTGGAATGCGGAAGTTTCTCCTCAATCGAAATACCAATGGTTGAAGTGGACTAAGCAATTGAGGAATGTTAAGGTGCCTCGAAGTATTAATAAGAGTATCAAGAGAATGAAAGCAGTTCAACTTCACGTCTTTGCGGATTCAAGTACTTTAGCTTGTTGTTCAGTAGCTATCGCTGTTGTGGAGAGTAATACGGGCGTTGTCAAAGGCCTCCTAGCTTCGAAGTCGCGAATATCAAAACGGGACACGTCAATTCCAAGGCTCGAGCTTGTTAGCGGTCATATGGCCGCAAACATGGCAAGAAACCTGTGCAACGCTTTACGCGGATGGCCTATCAAGTCCGTGATCATATGGATGGATAGTCTTGTTGCATTATTTTGGATAAATAATCCGGGCAAAGCTTGGAAGGTGTTCGTAGCCAACAGAGTCAAACAAATGGCGGATATAACCGAAGAAGTGAACATTGTGTGGAAATACTGCCCGACAAACATGAACCTTGCAGATTTAAGAAGCAGGAGTGCAAGCATTGATTAGCTCGAGAGTCAAGAGTGGTTTGCAGGACCAAACTGGCTCCTCAGTGAGGACAAGTGGCCTGAACAACCCGAACTAAAGAAGAACAGAGAAACACATGGTGAGTACAAAACCACTGAACCAATCTTCTACTGTAATGAGCAAGAAACCGATGAATGGGATGATCTACTCGATCGAAGTTCATATTGGCGAACTTTACGAGTCACAGCCTGGATTTTACGCTTTGTAAATAACTGTCGTTCTAAAGCAAGGAGAGACAAACGAAGAAATGGTCCACTAAATACGGACGAAATCACGAGTGCCAGAAATAAATGGGTGAGGAGAGTGCAGCAGAAAGATCGGCCAGATATCCAGTCGCCGGGATGGAGGTTGGTAGAAGAGCGTGACACCGGGATACTGAAATGCGAAGGACGAGTAACGAATTATCAGCCAATATATCTTGGGGGAGGAGCGTTTGAGGACAAACTTATTTCTCATGTCCACAATCAGATCATGCATCTCGGTGTTTCAAACACAATGACGACTCTTCGAAAAACGTGGTGGATTCCAAGGTTACGTGAGAAAGTGAAGAAAGTCATCAACAAGTGTAACGTTTGCAAATTATATTCGGCAAAACCGTTTGAAGCCCCAATCACAGCGAAAATGCCAAGTTTTAGAACGGAAGATGACCGACCATTTGAAGTGACCGGCGTGGACTTCGCAGGACCGCTGCACTATAAAATTACTAAGAAAGAGGACGGAAAATGCTATGTCTTAATATTTACGTGCGCAGCCTCAAGAGCGGTTCATTTGAAAGTAACGAAAGATCAAACGGCTGCAGAATTTCAGAGGAAACTCAATGCTTTCATTACCTGTAGAACGAGACCGCGTATGATAATATCGGACAACGCGCAAACTTTCAAAGTTACAGCTGAATGGGTGAAGATTATAAGGAAGAGCGAGAAAATGCAGAACTGTCTTGCAAACGAAGAAATCAGGTGGCAATTCAATCTTGCGAAATCCCCATGGTGGGGAGGTTTCTACGAAAGGCTTATTAAGGAAGTCAAGAAAACTTTATATAAAACACTGCATGGGGAAATCTCACTTGTCATTCGAGGGCATGGAGCAAGTGGTAATGGATATTGAGAAGAATTTGAATAATCGGCCGTTGACGTACGTGGAGGGCGAGATAGAGTCGAAGGTGCTAACGCCAAATGTTATTATGTGGAGAAGAAATGCATATCCACAAGAGGAACTGGAAACAGACACGGACGAGTTGACATCGATGAACAGGCGGCTGATTAACGCAAGACAACACGCATGGCAACGCTGGAAAAGGGAGTATATTCACGCTTTAATGGAAAAGCATCGTACAAAAACGAAGGGGGGAGTGTACCAGACGTCGGCGACATACTCTTGATCTTGGGTGACGAAAAGAATCGGGGTGAATGGAAGAAAGGTCGTGTACTACGCTTAGTAAAGGGCAAGGACGGTGTTGTACGGGGCGTCGTTTTGTGTCACAACGGTCGAAGAGTTGAGCGACCTTTACAATTAGTCTGTCCATTGGAACTTAAAGTCGCAGAAAGTGTCGTGGAGCAAAAGCAGAACGAAACGGTCTCTAAGAATCAACGAGTTGAAAGAAACGCGGCGAAGGAAGCGGAGCAGAGAATACGGTTGCAGTTAGAGGAAGAAGAGGACAATTGAACTATAGAAACATGTATAGTTGCGTTCATATTGTTATTGTTACAGTAAGGATAAAAATTGACAATTAGGGGAGTGTGAGCCAATTGGACAAGCCTGTGCCACACCCCCAACTAAGGAAATTAGGTGACTAGGGAAACGAGAGAAATGTGAGCGAGGAAGCGATTATTTTACAGCGATCATTTGTGAGAAAATTTTATGTTTTATTAAACTTTTATTTTAAATTTATTTGTGGTAAGTGTGCATTAACTTCTCCAGCACACTCATGCCAATATGAACTGCAAATATTTCAATATCGGACATAAAAGTCATAAAAACCTTGAGAAATTTGAGAAATTGTGATCATAAAAGTTACTGTTTTGTAATCTTTTGTTTTAGTCCTGGCGATGTGTCTTTGCCAGGGCTAAAATTATTCTTAACATGAAGTATTGCGTGTCTGTGTTTACTTTTGCCCAGTCTCTTTGGCCGAATTATGTATAGTCGATCCACTGAGCTGTATAATACAGTGAGTCGATCGAGATTTCGATTTGTGTCTGTCTGTCTGTCTGTCTGTCTGTCTGTCTGTCTGTCTGTCTGTCTGTCTGTCTGTCTGTCTGTCTGTCTGTCTGTCTGTCTGTCTGTCTGTCTGTCTGTCTGTCTGTCTGTCTGTCTGTCTGTCTATAAATTCCGGGGAAATAATTAAGGCTTCAGGAAGTTTTCTTAAACGAGGGGGGCGGTCAATATTTATTTTGTATTGCGCTCACATGATACATTGATGTTGGATTTTCACAAATCGACAATATTTTGAATAATTCAGGTAAGGATAGCTTTATTTCTTTCTGGTGATATTACATGAAGATATTTAGATCTGCTGTTTAGCGTTCGATATGAGGTATTTGAAACAATAGATCGTCTTTATATTTATGAGTCAAAATGTACTTTTGGTTTATTTGTTTGTGTGGCGATGAGATTATAGTGTTCATTCTAGATGTACATAGACATAGCAATTTGCTTTCAGAACGTTTTAAAAACAAACGCTGAATGTTGTGTATGCTTTATAATGTAAACATATTTCCTATAGCAACCCATGCAGTTAATAACCCAGTGACACTGAGTGTGGATTGTTGTCGGCATATATAAATTTACCAGCAGTTTATAGCCTACATGTATTAATATATAACATGTCAACCGATTTTTGTACAAAGTATGATGGTCTGTAAAAATATATCTCTGATATATGTCCATTGTTAGCATATTATGAAATAATCCTACCGGCTACTGCAGGCCTACATTCATATATTCACCCACCTGGTTGTGTGCATGTGTCACTACATTTCAGGGTATGCTATATTTTCGATAATGCTTTCTTATATAGTTTTGCATTACAATAGTATTTTGCATTACATATAGTCATTACAAATGAACGGTGTCATCTGAAGCAGACGTATTAAACAAAAATGTCAACAACAATCCCCCCATCAGCAGATTGTTCAGTTGTTCTGTGAACATAGCCTTGAAGGTGTCATTAAAATGATAATTGGGACAAAAACTGACTTACTTCTATATATGAAATTATTATTAAATTCTACATGTCCAATGGTTCATTCAAGTATTATAATTCTTTATATATATATGCAGCCCAGTCCCAGGCTCTCTCTCTCTATCCATTCGCTGCTTTGATATATTTAAATAAGTCTTAAATGTTTTATGCCTGGGTGTGCTGTGCGGAACGCTTCAGCGAGAGAGCCTACCAGATTTCGGTAAAATGGTCCCTGATTTCAAAAAAGTGGTCCCTGGCCTGGTTACCAAGCATATTGCATTTGTGAATAAAAATTGTTATGGAAATTTACTTTGCGTTCATAATTAAGTCATTAGTTTTGCTCTAATGCTGTCGGAACAATGAAATAGGCTATGTTTCGCTACCATACGGTCAGAATGGAATAACAGGCTAAATATGACTCGTGTTTACTAAAATATAAAGCCATATTAAATGCTATCTAGAAGCTTGAAAACTATGCCGAGTCTCCGACTGAAAATGTTTTGACAACACAGTCATGTTTACAATCTCCTCAGCTACGTAAACCTGTCAAGCAGAAAGCGTAGTTGTGTATACCAGTATGGTCTAGTGTTGATCACAACTTGCGAGTATATATATATATATAACATCAACGATTATACGACCATTGCTCAGACACAGTATCGTAAATTTGTATATAATTTTTTTTTAATTGAGCACATTTTTAATACAGTTTGAGTTTGGTTATGTAGACATCGAACATGATCAACGAACATTGTCGTATTTACAAGGTTATTTGTATATATAAATTTTCCACCATATTAAAAATACTGAAATCTGCTAGGCGTTCTGAAGCACCTTTAGCGGTGACGTCACACCTAGGTCCCAGCCTCGTACTACATACACGTTTTTTCTCGCGCTTGCTTCAGAACGACCGGGACTAGGCTGATATATATGATATTGTACAGTATTCAGTGACAAGCTAGCCATGGCAACTGGTCATGCTATGCTAACAAACCTACAATGCAAATCATTAAAAACTTGCATAGCATGACCTGTTGCTATGGCTATTATAATTATATACACAAAAGCGAGAAGTTATAAGCATTGAAGACATTCATATAAAATCACCCATGCCAACAAAGTAGAATTAGAATATTTAGCTGACCTTCAACATTGTGCAAGGTGTTTGGTATTCAAAATGCACTTTTCCTATCCCATGAACAGGTCTTAGGGGCTGTTTATATGATGGAAGGTGGGGTGATTTTGAGTATTGAAATAAGTCACTAGGCTAAATGAAAGTTCAAATGCTGGTTAACAGAACTGAATTGTTGTAGACCGTGACTTATTTCAATACATCGAAATCACCCTGCCTCGTATCTCGTCCTGGCAAAGCAGGATCATATAAACAGCCCCCTTATTCAGCAAATTGCGCATGCTGGCTTTGATCCATTGGGGATGAGGCAGCACTTTCCTTGCGATAGTAACTTCTAGTCCCCGAGCCGACGGCGCGAAGCGCCGTGCGAGGGTACTAATTCCCCCCGGCTATTTACACCCGGGGAAGGGAAGCATTAGCGAAGTCTAAAGTTCATCAAATATCGCGGGCGTGGGTCACTGTGCGTGTTTCGGTGGGTGGGCATCCTCACTGATCTCATAATATAGCGGACTGTAATGAATAGCCAACACTGATTGGTCCAATTTAAAATTGGCATTATAACGGCTGCATGACGATTGACGACAGCGAAATTGATTTGATGATTTCTTGCAAATATATTTTATTCTTGCAAGATTTTGTAAATTGCAAAGGATTTTTGATGAAATAAAGGCAAGAGGATTGCTAAAGGAAGGAAGTAAAGGTGCCGACGTTAACGAAGGTAAGTTTGTTTTCAATATTGATGCATTGTTTGCTTTTAATATACTGTAATCTCGGCTGTAATTACTTTAAAAGCTGATCGTTGCGTATATAAAATATGAAACAAGACAGCGTATTATTTCAGTGTTTCTTTATTGATTACACTTTTTATTATACTAAGCAAAGTTATTTACATGGGAGAATTTAATTGGAATCATTTTATTTCGAACTCAAAGTTTATCGATAAAGGCAGTTTAGTTCTATATTAAAAGAACACTTTCAAACGTTTTGCGAAGCGTCCGTGGTTGAATTTTACCTTAAATTGAAGCTTATATTACGTATAATAACATACCTACTGTAATTACTTTAAAAGCCGATCGTTGTGTATAAATATGAAACAAGACAGCGTATTATTTCAGTGTTTCTTTATTGATTACACTTTTTATTATACTAAGCAAAGTTATTTGCATGGGAGAATTTGGAATCATTTTATTTCGAACTCAAAGTTTATCGATAAAGGCAGTTTAGTTCTATAGTAAAAGAACATTTTAAAACGTATTGCGAAGCGTTTGTGGTTGAATTTTACCTTAAATTCAAGCTTATATTACGTATAATAACATACCTATCATATATATGTTTAGGAATTTGATAATTTTGTTATTAAAAGTGATATTTATAGGGGGATTTTTCATTTGTAAAAATATTCTTAAAAAATTATCGTGTTACCATGACAACTACTTAAAATATTTGACGTTCGGAAAATAAAATGGTTTTGTCAGCAAGGCGAGGGTTTCTGCATGCATGTATTTTCTAGTTTAATTTATAATTTGTGGCATCATCGTACCCGTTTGGGCGAATTTGTTTACACAGATTATGGTGTGAAAATAATTTATTAATACACTTAATATAGACCAGGATTAGCACAAGGCCAGAGAGGGGAGCATAGGCGGGGAAAAATAGCCAGGGCCACTATATTGGATTCACTTGTTATATGACATCAACAATTCAACGTATAGTCACACACTGTTAACGACTGTTGGCCCACATACAGTAAATTAACTGATCTGATTTTGCCATATAATCAAGTGTTAAGAGACTCCCGAAACTGTTAAGTTTGATGTTGTGAGCAGTGGCACAGCCAGTAAAACAGAAGTGAAGGGAATAATCTATGGCGTTATCAAGAAATTGGTGGTCTTGTTAATTTGCAGTATAAGTTATGTTAGATTATGTAATTTATTGTTGTAAAAGAAACTAAAAGGTTCACAAAATATGGTTTTCCCGCTTGAAAACAACAACTACACCGATAATGGCGGATCTAAATAACGTTCAACGAACGTATAGTCACGTGTCCGATGTACTGTATATATTAACTGTATTACGGTACTTTATGCTAATTTATACTAAATAATATCAACCATATAAATATAGTTTAAACTTTAAACACTAAAAGTACTTATCTCAACACCCCCACTCAGGCTCAGCTCGTCCTTAACTATGATGAGTCTGACGTGTTGTCGATGTTCTTAATTCCCTAAGAGTACTGTTCTGTGTTTTTCCACTTTCACTCGAGGTAATGATTTCGTCAGAATGTCCGCAGTCATTTCTTCGGTTGGAACATAATGTATCTTTATTTCTTTATTTTCTACCCTTTCTCGAATGAAGTGTAGCTTCGTGTCGATATGTTTTGACCGTTTATGCATCAGGGGATTGTGACACATCTTAATGCAGGATTGGTTGTCTTCTCCAATATCGGTCGCTTTCTCCATTGGGAAACCAAAATCCTTTAGTAGAGCTCGTAAGTAGATTGATTCTTGTGCAGCCGCCGCCATGGCTTGATATTCCGCCTCCGCTGTTGATAAGGCAACGGTTGCTTGCTTCTTTACCTCCCAACTGATGGCACCTCCATTTCCTTCGAATTTAAAGTAGTATCCAGTTGTCGATTTGCGATCGTTGAGATCCCCACTCCAATCTGCGTCCGAATCGCCAACAATATCACAGCTGGAATTCTTCAAGAATGTTAATCGTAAGTCAGTAGTTCCTTTGAGATATCTCAGTACGCGCTTTGCTGCCTTCCAATGTGATTCGTCAGGTTTATCGAGAAATCGTGACAGCTCATTAACAATATTTAGAATATCTGGACGGGTTTGTTTGCCAATGAATAAAAGAGAGCCAACTAAACTTCTATACAGCTTCGGCTCTACTAATTTCTTTCCTTCGTTACTTTTGACTAGCTTTAGATTTACTTCTCCGGGTGTTGCTACAGCTTTGCAATCACTCATGTTAAATTCTTGGAGAACAGTTTAGATATA